AGACTGATAAGAATGTTGGACTCAAATGAAATGTTATGGTATCGCAGGTTTAGTCTATTCCATGTTTCATAAAGTCTGTCTGGTTTTTTTTTTATGTTTACAGGGTTTTTTCTCAATAAAACAACATTTTTTCTACTTATGAAAATTAAGATGTATAGTATCTATTGGGATAAAATTGATTACGTTAATAAACATGTTTTTTGTTTGCTCAGGTGTTTAGATTCTTCTCGCCCAGAAACTAACCGACCCTGCTTGCTTCCCTGCAAGAAGGACTGTGTAGTGACCCCCTTCAGTGAATGGACAGCATGCCCAACATCTTGTCTCCCAGGTAGATTTATTTTTAGATGAAATTTAAAAGACAATAAATAAAAACACAAGTAAAAAACTAACAAATTATTATGTGTTGATGCCCTTTAAAAATAAAAACAGTTTGGAAATCAGTAAAATATTTATTCATTGTATAAGAAATAATAATTAATAAAAAAAAGTTTCTTTGCTCAATCGTCTTTTTATAACACAATTTCACACAGTTTGTTTCATTCCAACAATGCATGTAGAGATGTATTAAATTATTTTTATTAGTTGTTTTTCTGTTGCAATGAAAGACCTGAATGAGACTAAACAGAATAGAGACAGCACATAGCACTAGAGTGGTTAATTATTACATTTAATGGCTTATGACAACCTTAAGTGTTGATTACATTAAGCTGACACATCAAGAGGAAAATAGATATTTAATGGTTTTTCAATATGTGCAGTGCAGCATCTTGGAAATGAAACAAAAAAAGAATGAGATAGTTTTTAGAAGAAGTGGATAGACATCTCATCGCTGTAAATATGCTGTAGTCCACTGGGCCTGCTGACGATGTAATCACTTTCTTAATTGCAGCATTTTCAATGTTTTGTAATTAGTTTTGTTTAATGAGCCTTGGAGCCCGAGCCAAATGAGGCCATTATATTGTGGTGTGTCCGAAAACAGACAGCAGCGAAGTGGAGGACATCCCGACCATCAAGGGCATCCTAATCAGTCAGATCAGTTTCAAGACCACTTGCTTCTCTGGCTGCTTCTTTCATATGTTAGAATGTACTGATTGTGTTTGTTCTTTTTCTATTTACCAGAAAATGTGTTCTCATGATTTTATATTTTCCGTCAACAATGGTCACCTTAATTTACCAGTGTGAATTTTTTACTATGCTGCTTTAAAAAAAAAAAATAAAAAATAAAAACAATAATTGTTTTTATGAAATTTGTGTTTCATCTTACACAGATAATTCAACTGCTGCCATGCAATCTCGGTACAGAATAATCATTCAGAGGTCTGCTAATGGAGGTCAAGAGTGTCCTGACACACTGTATGAAGAAAGGGAGTGTGACTCAGTTCGTGTTTGTCCAGTTTATAGGTAAAAGTGTTTTTTACTATATTATCAGTTGAAGTTTCAATAATGGTACATTTTTAAACCCTTTAGGGAGTAAAACTGGGGATTTGTCATGATCATAACAGTTAATTAAAGGTATAAATTGCTTGAGAGCTGTAACTAATTTAATAAGGTTTTTCAGGAAATGTATTGAATAAAGACATTTTTCAATTTGTCATTGCAGGTTACAGTGTTAAGAAAAATTATTTAGTGAACTTTTTTCACATTTTTGTCATATCATTTTTGTGTGATTTACTGTGATAGACAGCACAAAGTGGAACTTAACAGTGATTTCATTTACATATTCATAAAGCTATGAAAACTTTCTCTTAACCTTGTTTGTTGAAAGTAGAGACATAAATGGGCAGTAGAAAATCCAGTAAAATGTATTATTAAAGCTTGCCACAGATATTCATTTGGATGTTGGTCTGGAGTTTCCGTTCTAAAATCCTCGTGTCTTCAATCATTGCAATTATAACATAGCATTTACGGTGTACTTGGAGTAACTGTTTTGCCAAAAAAATAAATCATCTTAATTTAGATTCCAAACAACTCTGGCCGGCTTTAGTGTTTTCACCGCACAATGCTTCCACCACCATGTTTCATACAGGTTATGGTATGGTTAAGGTTCAGGGTTTTCTGTCAAAAGTAATTTTTTGCATGTAAAAAGTTATGTTTTAATGCCATCTCACCAAAGCGCATTTCGTTTGATGCAAAAAGAGACATGCTATGGGTTCATAAAAAAAAAAAATAGATTTTTTTTCTTTCCAAATTCAATGAAGGGCAGACCTACAGTTAGGGTACAAATACTCAGAGCTGAGAATGTGAAGAAATGTTCCCACACTCGGGTATAAATCTCATTTTGATCTCAGGTATTGCCATGGACTTGTCTGTTACTGTAAGTGATACTCCATCTTACGAAGCATGTCAGTTTAAGTTTTTTTTTTTTTTTGTTTTTTTTAACAGTGTCCTGTCTGGCAACGTGGCAATAAGAATAATTGTCTTGATGCCAAAAAGGGCCCAACAGATTTTATTTTCACAAGTGGAGCAGTACAGCTATCGCAATAGTGTTCCGCTTGATTTATGCATGTAAATAGCTTTATTATAATACATGGAGGGAGTATTACAGATTATATGGACACTGCAATGGGAAAGTAGAACAGGAAAGGAAAAACAGGAAAAAGAAGAAAAGATAAAAGAAGGAGGAGATAAAAGGGAGACAATGATAAAACGTTACATAAACCTGATATTTCCATTTCATGAAATAGTGAACAGTGCCCTGCAAGATATTTAAAGTGTTGGAATATTGTTTAATAACCTAATCCTGGTTTAAACTTCAACTCAACTTTATACCTGGTCCACCTGCTGTGTTCTTTGGTCATCTTTATGCTGTTTGTTCACTAAAGTTCTGTCTCAAATCTTTGTCTTTGAAAGGACAGTTTTATTTATGATGACACTAATGAGATACCAAACTTTATAGGGAATCTAAGTCAGCAGTTGTTTTAATTCAGGGCTTATAGTGTGTAAAGGGCTGAACAGAAATCCACATTTTTAGGCTTCAGATTTCTGTGCATAAAAATGTTTGAAAATCATGTCCTTCCAATGACAATTCTGAAGTTTCTTTGGTAGTCTATCACATGAAATATAAAAACACATTAAATTTTGTGGTTGTGACAGTAAAAGGTTCAATGTGGGTGATTCTTTCCACAATAACTAAACTGATGTCTAAGTAATTCATTTATTACTCATGTATTTAGGGGAAAACATTTGCAGACATAAGGTATCTGAGAAAAAAACAGTACTTTACTATAATTTTAAGGTGAATTTTGTGCTGTTAGATATAACTGTTGGTNAACTGTTGGTCTCAGTACAGTGGCATTTTAATGCTGTTGTATAAAAAAACAAAATTGAAGTTTAATTTTAGCCATATTCATGTTAGATTATTGTGGCAAGCCCCAGTGTTTTCTGTCCCAGCTATTTTTTCCAGACTGATGACATTATTTGTAAGGTCACTGATGATGAAACTGTAATGCCTTTGATGATACAGACTTGTGATGAGTATTCTAAATTTTATCTCTAAACAGGAGTGCAACCTCAAAATTAGAACATATATTTATCAGTACATTCTGAGAGGTCTGCACTCTTCTTTCTCATTTGCTTAATTCAGTCAAGATGGAGTGATTTGATGTCTACAGTAAGTTTGAAATGGACAGACAAATGAAGCTTTGTTGAACATTTACATTCTGATTGGCACTCTAAAGATGCCTCATTAGCTAATCTTTGTACCAAACAGCTGGAAAACCCTTTGTAAAGAGTACACAAATGTTTAGCAAAAAAAGAAATAAAATAAATAAACACACAGAAAAACAAACCGGGGGCTATGACCAATCCTGCTCTGTACAATCAGGTTCCATTGCTCATGCTGGAGTCAGCGGCTTCAAACAGAGCCTTTAGTCAAGGATATCTGGCTCAAACATATGTCTTTTCAATTCCACAGAAAAATGCATGTCAGCTTCACTTTCATAATCAATCATTTTTACTGTGCTGCTGTTACTGTTTTTGGATTAGACAGACAACACTGACAGTCTTAGCTAATTAATGTCAAAATCCTGTAGCCATTATGTACATAATTAGGCTAGCAACGCATACACTGTTTGGTGCAGAACATAGTCATAAAGCAAGCAACTTCTTAACAAGGTTTGCAAATATTTCTACTACTGTTCACTCATTCCTTTAGTTAAAATTTTGAATAATAAAATCAAGCAGCTGCAGCGACTCTTTTGACTGTTAGTTAAAGTAACTCCCTCATCAAAGTTCCTCATTACTCACCACACCTTAAAGAAACATTTTTCATTAAACAAGGCAATGGGCAGCAAAGAATCACTGATACAGTGATACAGTCAGGGATGTAGGCTGGTGTGTCTGGTTTGATGAAACAGAGAAACAACTATAGCTCAGATTGATGAGGAACGTAAAGCATAGATTTTTTCATAGAGAAAAGAAAGTGGGTTGAACTGCATAATCACAAACAAGCCAGGCTTCTTATGCCATGCATAAGAAATGCCAGTGTTGAATATGCAAGCATGATAGCTAAACCAGTTAAGAATGGAAGAAGGTGACCTGCTTAATTTAATCCTGTTTTCATTTATTTGGTTGGCCTGGTGTTAACACACAGCGCCAGAAAACACTATGAATAAAGGCAAACTGAGAGGAGCTGAGCAAAGCTGTTCTGGGAGACCTTGTAATAGCCATTTAGGGCTGCTTTATGGTTTAAATAGACTTTGTAATACAGAAAAATCAGCAGCCAGTAAAAAAAATTGAAATTGAAGAAAGGAATATTAAATAAAAATATTATATATATATTTATATATATATACTATATAACACAAGTGTATACAAAAAGAAATTTCATTTAAAACAGCTCTAGACAATTTCAGTTTTTTTGAGCGCAGCCTTGAAAACAGTTATAAATACATCAAAAGTAATATAAACATATGACTGTATATTTACAGGTCTAACATTAAATTTATATATAAATATATATATAAAACAAGTAAACAAGACTGATGGAGCTGCTGTAGTAGAATTTTGTTAAACAATAGTTTGAGGCCATCGCGGAAAGTCAGGAGTTTTCTGTAATGTTCAGTTAATGTTCAGACTTCAGCACCTGTTGACAGGTATGTTGGTTCACTGTTAATGAGCTAGGTACCTTAATTTCTCTTTTTATAACATTTTTTTTCCTGCTTGATCACTGAAATGTATAACTTACAAATATAAAGTTCTCAAACATAACCTCTTTGGAAAGCTGTTTATTTTAAAAGGACCTATTGCAGAATAGAACGCTTGCCTTTAAGTGCACAGCATACGAAAGACTCAAATGCCATAATATTATGTTGTTTTTATTTTTCTCTCTTTACAAAATCCAACAATACTGTATCTTTCCTGGATGTGTCCAACCAAGATCATAAGTTACAAATTGGATATTAAAAAGGTTTGATGTTGAAAAAATATAAAACCACTATTATTCTCTAACAAATAAAGCCTTGTTTTTGTCATTCCATCTAGGTGGAGGATGCATAAGTGGCACAGTTGTACTCTGGTTCCAGATTCTGTTAGACGAGGATTATCTGGATCAGGAGAAGCCTGTGGAAATGGTTTAGAAACAAGAGGCAAGTATTGACCCTCACCTCAAGTCTTTTCCTCCCTATCTGTTCTCCTCATCAGCTGCTGCGACCATGTATCTCATGTTATAAGACTTTTTCTTCAGTCCAGCCTCTTAAGTCTTCTATTCTTAAATATATATATATATATATATATATATATATATATATATATATATATATATATAATTGACTGTGTATGTAATACAAACAGTTTGTTACATATTTGTTACAATGAGAAAAAATTACCTAGAAAACAAATCACGTGATTTTATTTGATTTTATTTTATCATATCCTTCCAATGATATTAACCCCTTTCATAAATTCCTGTAATTGTAGTTCATTTGTACAGTTTCATAACACTACTTTTTAATTGTAGGTCTTCGTTCCCTGAAAGGGAACACAAATATGACACTCCATGAATGTCTTTTTAATGATCAATAATTTAGGTATTTAGCTGTATTTATGATTTTTGAAAATGCTTTATGATACATAGAAAGATTTTTAGAAAAAGACAAATTGTTACAACAGTGGTGTGTTTTACTGTTAAAAATAGTGTTAAAACATTTATGTTATGCTTCCAAAGATGCTTAAAATTAAAGATTAAGTTTGTTATTGTTTGCTCCTTTTGAAAAGAGCAAAGCACATAATTATAAGTACTAACTTGCTTCTCCACAATAAATGTATCAAACAGTTCTTCCTTGGCGTTTCACAGTTTTCCCAATATTTAAATGATTAAAATACCATAAGGAAACATAATAAACTTTGAAAAGGGAAACAAATGTAAAAGATATATCTTTTCTTTTCCCTGTATGATCCAATTGAATTCTGCTGCATCACTCTGTTGTCTTGAAAGCAGCAAGTCTCTCTCTATGTAATTATGACTGACATTTCTGAAACAAATTTCTAATGAGCACACAACGCAAAGTGTTTTTGGCGTTCCCAGGTTAAGAGCAAGCCTCATTGACCTTTACAGCATCGTATTTGAATGTGATTAGATAATGGCTGAGTTAAGTACCTGTGACATTTCGAGAAAACTGAACTGCAAGATGAAAATTTGTAATTAGCAGAAACAGAGAATTTAAAAGTAGATTTAAGAATGACAAAGAACTTTGAGTTACACTCACTCCATGGATGGCATAACCAATTCAGTGAAAAGGATACATAAATGTCAGACTGATGTATAATTAGGGCAAAGCAATCGGAAGAGGAAAATGATAGAGGAAGGAAACAACTTACACCAGTTTTATTCAAGGGTTCAGAACTTAGGGCTAGAATTCACCTTTAAAGTCGTAGGGAAGTCATATTTAAATATCAAACCATTCTGGCTTAAACATGCATATAAATGTACTCTTTATCAGACTATATTGTGCCAAAAACGAGAAAATTTCTATTTAAAAAAAATCCTGTCTTAAATTCTGTGTTTTTTTCCATGATTTTATGCAGGCCAGATAGTTATACATCAATCTGTACATTTAAATTCGGCCAATCATATATCAATGGTCATCTGTCAATCAATTTTTTGCGGTTTTCCTAATGTGTCAAATTGCAAGAAAAGAAATGAGTGAACAAGTCATTTTATCAATGCCAAATATAACTTCTTGAAATATTTTAAATATTTCTGATATGTTATTTTCTTAAAATAATAGAGAGTAATGCTGTAGGAAGAGTTCCTTGATAAAACCCCACTCTTACCTGATTTATAAGTGTGGAAACACCTATTATCTTTGAATCCTTAACAAGAAAGTGTAAATCCCAATGGAGGAAAAGAATCTTGAAAATAGAAAACCTTTGCATTAGGTAAAATAACGTAAGTCAGTGTTATATATTCTCAGTAAAGTTGCTTCAAAATAAGAGCATTTTTCTTTTTTATAATGTGAACAATTTTTTTTTATTTTTTTTATTATAAGTCACATTTTACCTTGGAAAAAATAGGAAAAACAGATTTTGAGAGGAGTGGTAGGGAAAGAAAGCGATGAAGTTCATTCTGAAAATACATATTCTATACAGACACAATATTTTCTTATGATATACAGAGCTGCACAGTTTTTTATCTGGTATAAACAGATAATGTCAATCTTTACAAAGTGCTCTGTCCTCCAAACGACACAAATTTAAAGTGGATTTTGGCAATAAAAACTTGAAGGGATAGTCTCATAAATCCCTAGAGCAATATTTATGTTTTCAGGGATCTACAGAATATTAAAGAGCACAAATCTTTGTTTCATGAGTGCACTGTTAGAAAAATAAGGAAAATTTTCTCTTTTTCTTTATTTTCATTGAGGATACAACAAAGATCTCTTTTTAGCAGTGTCCATGTCAGATAAGGTTAACATGTGCTGTAAATAGTTTTAAAATTAGTACACACAGTGTGCTGTTTTCCTGTTTTTTCGTTACTTGTTTGAATTTTTTTTTATTTTTTTTCTTGTGTCCTCCTTTGCCAACATAGCTCTGGGAAGTGATGTCCCAGAGCTAGTTAATAGCCCAACAGATCAGCTTTCTCAAGTAGAGCATTATGCTTATTGTCATAATGTCGCGCTTGGTAGTTTTGTATAAAGCAATATATGAACTGGTTTTGGGAATTAAATCGTATGCATTGCACACTAACATGGAAAGGGAGTTGAGAAAGGAGAGGGGTTAGGAATTAAGGGGAAGGAGAAAGAGATAGAGAAAATAAATGGGGAAAGAAGGAGAAAGTGAAAAGAGATAAAGAAAAAAACAACACAACAAAACAAACAAAGAAAATATACAGTAGTTGCGCATACTATTGTATATAGTTGTGTACCAAGGTAATAAATGCTTTAACGCTGTGCCCCAAGACAGAGGAAAGACACAACCATTTAATGACATTGATAAAAATATTTTCTTTTTTCACCCATAACTAATACATGGTTTGTTTCTGATATAATATTAACCACATTAATCATTTTTGATATAATATTAATGTAAAAGATGATGGAACAGCAGTTTTTATGGAATCATTTGTCGATAATGATTAATTTAAAATATTTATTTGGTAAATTACAAAGTCAAAGCAACTACATTTTCAGGTTATTCCTTTGAGTTTAAAAATAAGCAATAAGCATTAGTGACATCAAGAGCCTGATCTTCGCGACTGCAAGAAGAAGAAGAGAAGAGGCGTTAAATTGATGTGCAAAATCAGTACTATAAAATAAGTGGTTGCGTTTGCATTTGTTCTGGATAAGACATGCAGAATCTGTTTGGTTGTGAATGGCACTAATCAGGATGTGATTTGCTTATGCAGTTAGACAGATTTTGTCCCAGCATGCAAACAAATTAGAGGCACTACCTTATAGTACTAAGTAGTGGATGACTCCTCAAGAGCAATCCTCTTATTGACCAGTAGGATTGTGTACAGTATCTTGCCGCCATCAGTGTGTGAGTGTGTGTGTGAATGGGTGAATGAATGTAGTGTAAAGCGCTTTGGTCAAGTCTCCTAACTTGAATAAAGGCGCTATATAAGTACATGCCATTTACCATTTACCATTTGATCCAGAAATTTCTAATTTCTAATGCATGCAGTACAAAAGTCAGCTCAACGTTCAATTCATGTAGTGATTTGACTGAGTTTGTTCCCATAAATAATTTGTTTGTNATGGAGGAAAAGAATCTTGAAAATAGAAAACCTTTGCATTAGGTAAAATAACGTAAGTCAGTGTTATATATTCTCAGTAAAGTTGCTTCAAAATAGGAGCATTTTTCTTTTTTATAATGTGAACAATTTTTTTTTATTTTTTTTATTATAAGTCACATTTTACCTTGGAAAAAATAGGAAAAACAGATTTTGAGAGGAGTGGTAGGGAAAGAAAGCGATGAAGTTCATTCTGAAAATACATATTCTATACAGACACAATATTTTCTTATGATATACAGAGCTGCACAGTTTTTTATCTGGTATAAACAGATAATGTCAATCTTTACAAAGTGCTCTGTCCTCCAAACGACACAAATTTAAAGTGGATTTTGGCAATAAAAACTTGAAGGGATAGTCTCATAAATCCCTAGAGCAATATTTATGTTTTCAGGGATCTACAGAATATTAAAGAGCACAAATCTTTGTTTCATGAGTGCACTGTTAGAAAAATAAGGAAAATTTTCTCTTTTTCTTTATTTTCATTGAGGATACAACAAAGATCTCTTTTTAGCAGTGTCCATGTCAGATAAGGTTAACATGTGCTGTAAATAGTTTTAAAATTAGTACACACAGTGTGCTGTTTTCCTGTTTTTTCGTTACTTGTTTGAATTTTTTTTTATTTTTTTTCTTGTGTCCTCCTTTGCCAACATAGCTCTGGGAAGTGATGTCCCAGAGCTAGTTAATAGCCCAACAGATCAGCTTTCTCAAGTAGAGCATTATGCTTATTGTCATAATGTCGCGCTTGGTAGTTTTGTATAAAGCAATATATGAACTGGTTTTGGGAATTAAATCGTATGCATTGCACACTAAGATGGAAAGGGAGTTGAGAAAGGAGAGGGGTTAGGAATTAAGGGGAAGGAGAAAGAGATAGAGAAAATAAATGGGGAAAGAAGGAGAAAGTGAAAAGAGATAAAGAAAAAAACAACACAACAAAACAAACAAAGAAAATATACAGTAGTTGCGCATACTATTGTATATAGTTGTGTACCAAGGTAATAAATGCTTTAACGCTGTGCCCCAAGACAGAGGAAAGACACAACCATTTAATGACATTGATAAAAATCTTTCCTTTTTTCACCCATAACTAATACATGGTTTGTTTCTGATATAATATTAACCACATTAATAATTTTTTTTATATAATATTAATGTAAAAGATGATGGAACAGCAGTTTTTATGGAATCATTTGTCGATAATGATTAATTTAAAATATTTATTTGGTAAATTACAAAGTCAAAGCAACTACATTTTCAGGTTATTCCTTTGAGTTTAAAAATAAGCAATAAGCATTAGTGACATCAAGAGCCTGATCTTCGCGACTGCAAGAAGAAGAAGAGAAGAGGCGTTAAATTGATGTGCAAAATCAGTACTATAAAATAAGTGGTTGCGTTTGCATTTGTTCTGGATAAGACATGCAGAATCTGTTTGGTTGTGAATGGCACTAATCAGGATGTGATTTGCTTATGCAGTTAGACAGATTTTGTCCCAGCATGCAAACAAATTAGAGGCACTACCTTATAGTACTAAGTAGTGGATGACTCCTCAAGAGCAATCCTCTTATTGACCAGTAGGATTGTGTACAGTATCTTGCCGCCATCAGTGTGTGAGTGTGTGTGTGAATGGGTGAATGAATGTAGTGTGAAGCGCTTTGGTCAAGTCTCCTGATTTGAATAAAGGCGCTATATAAGTACATGCCATTTACCATTTACCATTTGATCCAGAAATTTCTAATTTCTAATGCATGCAGTACAAAAGTCAGCTCAACGTTCAATTCATGTAGTGATTTGACTGAGTTTGTTCCCATAAATAATTTGTTTGTTTGAACAAAACAATCTTTAAAGACAGAAGTTAAAAGAATGTCAATGAGCATTAAATCTCATGAGTTTCTCGCCTTTCTATGTTAGAGTTTATTCCGTTATTCATGACAAGTTCAAAGTCCGTTTCAGCTTTGCACCTCCAGCTTAGAGCATAAACTCTAGATTAGACTTAAGGTTCTATTACTTTATGCTCAAAATGTTTGGAAACCTGCTCTGCACATACATTGAGCTGTACTTGCAGCCTCCAGCCTACAAGTCTACTACCCTGCCACAAAACGTTTATGGGATTTCTTCCATACAGATCAGTCAAACTCACACAAGTTTGATAAGGGAATTGATTCACAGCAGGTCGTACCAAACGACTTTACTGCTTTAATGTTGAAATAGAACTACAGTTACCCCAAAACTTTTAGTGTTTTCCTTGGGTTGTTCTGTTCTTTTTTTTTGTTGTTGAAGTTATATTTTCTTTTCAGCTTCAATCTTGATAAAGTGTAAATATTTTCTCTCTAGAATGCAATACTTGATACATATAATTTTTTGCATTCCGCCTTAGAGCTGCTATCAGCCTGCATTAGAGCAAAATTGCAATTTTGCAATTGTGTTAATGAAGTTATGTTGACTGCCCAGTTTTCCCATTGTCTGGTATAGTGGGCAGATAGTCAAGGAAAGGCCTCCCAGCCCGGCCTTAATGGCTCCGTTCGGCTGAAAAGACGCATGTTTGAAAAGCATTTCTGGGTCCCATTGACTTTTACTTTAGAATGATAGAAACTTAGGTGCTTTGAATCATCATATTGCACATGTGAATGATTTTTTAGGTGGGCGCCTTTTCTATACTTCAGTCATTATAACCCTCACTACCCTACTTGCCACTGGCAAAAGGCTATATGCATTTATAAGCCCCTTAAAGGTCTTTTGCATATTTAGTAGAATGCACTGGTATTCAAATGCTATTGCACAAGAATATATATTCAGATTTTCTAAATTACAAAGCCTTGTGTTTCTGTTGAGTTAGCAAACCAATATGAAACGTAACGGTATCAAAAATAATTCTAACTTTATGATGGGAAAATTATACCCCTAATGAATATAGTTCCATAGAAATTTAATGAAAAAGCACACAACCAAGTAAGAAGTAAGTTTTTTTCTTTTTTTTATAGCTTTCATATACCGTGTCATAATCCAACCCCCAAACTGTGTCAATTCTGGCTGCATGCATTATAACCTTTTCCAGGTAGAAATGAAGCCCTTGCAGAAGATTATTCGGTGGAAAATGAGTCCTGCTGATGATCTTTAGCTGCAGGAAAAAATTGTCTTAATGGCTTTGATGACTCGGGTCTACATTGCTCTTCACAATGCTTTATGAAGAACCTTTTACAATGAATTCATATCAGATGGTGAGAGTGAGCTTAGAAACTGCTATTAAGTGTAACAATAGAAAATGCTTCTTGGGCTGATGGCAAAAGAAACCTACTATTGATAAAATAATAATAATAATAATAACATTCTTCACATGTAGTCAATAGCCCAATAATAAATATATGGATATGTTTCCCTAAAATATAAAGTTTTAAATGACTATTCAATATGTTTACATTTATCTAACAATTATAGAAAATCCTCAATGCTACTATAAGAATAGCACAATTTCTTAGATTCTTCTTTAAAAGCCACACAAAGGCATCAGACTGAACTTATAATGTAAAAATTGTATGGTTGAACGGTTCAAAGTCAGGAAGTCCGAGCTGCGATGCTAATAAGTCACATGAATGACAGAATTAGGCTGTCTTTGCTAGAGTTGGCTATATAAGTGGAAAAGTGAAGGGACAGAAATACATGCCAGTGGAGACAAGCAGTCATTACCATAGTGATAATAGTTGGACGACTTCTCGGCAGATTTTGATTTCTCTTTTTTTTGTTTTAGTTTTTACTAAAAAGAGGATTTAAAGCTCCCTTAGCAACAACCATAACCAACCACTACATTTTTATAATTGATAAATGCCTTGTTTTTAGAACTTCTTTAGTTTTAGTTTTATATAAATGTACGATAATAGTTATTGTTGCAATTATAAATGTTCACCCATCGAATCCAAAGCAAGCATGTTACATACTATACAGTTTGTCCAAAGTGCGACATTTTATCATTAAATGTTTTATTAATATAAAAGACTGGTGTGGGTCTTAAATTTATAAATTGATGTGGGTTTGTAAATAACTGAATTGAGCTGAGTTTGTAAAGTGAATAGTGAATAGTCAATAAGTGACTAGTGAATTTTCCTAAACACTATTTTGAATTCGTATATGAAGAAAAAAAACAACTAAGATTTAATGTCAATTTAAAAGCTTGAGCTTTTCTAAGGTATTCTGGATGAAAAGTTTGTAAACGTTAATTTACAAGGGTTAAGCCCCAAATGACCCCTTTCTACAGCACATTTTTACCTGAAAGTCTAAAAGTCTAAAACATCATTGCTTTACAAATATACAGTATCAAAAATGGTATGTCCAAATTTATTTGTACCCTTTTCAAAACTCCATTAAAAGGTCTTAATTACTGCCTTTAGAGCAAGCAAACTGTACTTATAATTGCTAATCATCTTTTTGCAGTCATCATCATTTTGCAATCATCATTTTCAGTTTTAGCTTGGCATCACCCTAATTTAGAACCTGCACAGATTCAAGCCAGGACTGCATTTTGACCTGTCTGCAAAGTTACATAATTCAATGTTGAAAAAAAAAAAGATTGTTTGAAACCTACATCTTCTATGAGTTCAGATAATTGATCAAATATCTGTAATGATTTGTTAACAGGTGGTTCTATTGCATCATTATTTATATAATTTAGGGCCTCTTTGGGGATTTACAGTATAAAGGCCACATTTGCAATTTTTTTAGTTTCAAATAATATTAATTTTGGAACCCAAAACCTCTTGGCCATGTGCACTGTGTGAATATTAATCATCATGTAAATGAAAATTGTCCTCTCTCCATGTGTCGCAGGGATCAGTTGTGTTGGGGAGGACGGTATGCCGGCCAACATGACAGAGTGCCTGCAATGGGCTGGCCCATTTCCCTCTCATATTAGAAAGTGCCGGGTGGCGTGCAAGGAAGACTGCACTCTAACTGCTTGGTCCAAGTTTTCCGAATGTGCCGGATGTGGTAGCTCACGTACTCGCAGGCGTTCACTTGTGGGTAAGGACTTTTTTTGTACTTTTCATGTTGTGATGACATCAATATCATATAGAAACAGCTGCCTTATTCATTGCTGCTGGAACAGTAGCATTGTCCTCTAGGGTCAAAAATTCTCACATTGCTGCTGCATGATCGTATTGATATGGCTGACAGTGACTTTTAAAATAAATTAAAAAAGAGAAGACCAAAGCTTTTTTTGGGTATGTCTGCTAGTTTGAGTTTACTGCTAATTCCTCCAGGCAGCCTAGGACAGCCTGATGCTTATTGATCTTCCAAAGGAAACAGCAGACAGAATTTATTTGCTGCTTCTTGGACGGTACTAATTGGAGCATATTCTTCACATACTGAAAAGCTTGTCCTCTTTGATGTGCCATGTGAAATAAATTGTGTCTCAACTGTCATTCAAGTCATTTTATTATAACTGTACACTGTCCCTGTAGCATAGCATCCAGTCTAAATTAGCTCTCATACAGCTTGTAATCTCCAATTTTGGTGCAGATGGCAGAATATGAATTGCAGGCCTGGTTACAGGCCAGACTGGATACTATTTGTCCTCATGAATATTTAATCTAATGCCAGAGGGGTTGTAGTAAATATACCCTTTATCCCTCCATAATGTCCTAAGAAACCTACACATGACATAAGACTGTGCAGATGTGGGTTTCTCTGGGAACAATTTGTTAGAATACTTATTTCTTCAGATAAGTTCCTTTTATTTCATTTTTGGCAGAGAGATTGATGGGTAACAAGTGGGATCTGTTTTATTTTATTTTTATTATTATAATCATTACTATTATTATTACTTTTTGGTTTCTTAATTTGCAGTTCCAGAAAGTGGTTAAGAAAGCTGGCTGCTTTCACAGTTCATCTGTTTAGTAAAGCCTGCCTGAGCCCAATGAAGACTACTTTTTTTTTATTGGAAGTGAAAGTTGCTTTAGAGCATTAAAAAGCTGTTTAACAAAGGAATGCTTGAGAGCGGGTTATAATTCTGCAACCGCGCACATCAAACTTCGCTTGGGTCTGGTCGCGAACCAGTTTTGCTGGTATGTTTCTGCAACGTCTGTCTGGAATTTCTAGGGACCCACAGCAGATCCCCGCCAAAGCGCTAGGGGAAGCCCATAAGAGAACTTCGGCTGATGGTCACTAGAACTTCCTCGGCAGCGCTGGCGGGAGTGTTTATTTTCAAAAACAACATGTCTGAGGCGTCATACAAGTGGTTGTACTTCCGAACCTCCTTGATGAACCTTTCGTCATAGTTATCCATTGTTGTTAATTCTCCTCGGTTTTTAAAAATGGCACACCCCGGCACCGAATCGAGAAGGACAACCACACAGACAGCCGGAGAAGCAAACCAAGGACCAATCACAGCTGCTTTTTGTCTGCGCGGGTTTGCGACCATCCAACGTGTTGTCAGGATTTTCTCTAAGTGCGCAACGACGGCTGCAGAGACCCTGTGGTGCGTGGTCACGAACAGAGACAGATTTGCCAGTTGCAGAGGCTATGCGTCAGAAGTATAAATTGGCCTTAAGTTATATTGTGTTGCTATTGAATGTTACGAATGTCAACTGAAGTAAGTGTCCTTTTGTGCACATCAAAGGTGTTACAGATACATGTCCATAAATAATGCCTTTTACATATATCAGTTGTTTACTTAAACTCATATAAGAGACAGATATTTAGACTTACAAATAGGTAAAAGAAAACTTATTATACTTTTTAGATTATTATTAATGTAATAATCAAGAGTGACATTTTTTCCTGAAAAAAAAAAGTTTACTATTCTTGGGTTTCAAATATTAGAAAAAAACTATATAGCATTAATAAAAATAAATGATCCAGCCAATGTAAATTATGACAACATTTTCAAACCTATGGATTAATATTGACATAAGGCTAATACCTTATATCCCCAATCCACAAAACATGCAGGAATGTGTTTACAACTGTGTCACCTGGATAAAATGTTCTCCGTGCTATTTTGCATACGATCTTTTTCCAACTTTAGTGAGACAAAAGTAGGCAAAAGAATAACATTAAATGAACATAAAGCTAGACTCAGTGTTTTTTAGCCTCTGATAACATCCACCTGCTCATTCTTCCATATATCTTAAAAGATACGCAAATCACAGGCTTTCTGTGGTTAAGAATCTACACCCCTTACTTTAAGCTTTGGGGAATTAAACACAATAAATTACCTTCTGAATGAATAGATGTATGTGGTGCATTTCTCTGTTAGACAAAGACTCCACATTCTGCTCTGTTTGGGTAACTCAATAATATTCTGAGTCCACAGGGTACCTGCTCCTTTCCTGTGATGAATCTGCATGCTGAATTTCCAATACCTTATGGAGCTTTGATTCCACAAAGTCTAAAGGCATGCAAATTACATGAACATGACTGCCTGCAGTTGGAAATAGATTATATGTAAGATGAATTTGCCGTTATGTAGTGGATATGCTCTTTAGAAGCAGTGCTAAGGGGGTTTTCTTTTTTATACATGCTTGCTAAAAAAACAAGATTGATTGATTAAATTGATTTATATTGATTTGCAGATATCATTACAAAGAAAAAAAATCACTTTTACTTGAAAGTAAACGTTTGTATTTTGTATGTTATAGTTGGGAAGTCTAAAATTAAACACATTTTTATGAATCATGAATGGTTAGTATAATACCACTCATGGTCAAAAGCTTCAATATATGCCTTTCTTACAGGCCGAAAAAAAAAAACCTGAGTAAAACAAATCGGTAAGCGATCCGGATTAAAATCGCATTCAATCAGCTTGGCTACGATCAGCATACAGCGAGAGCATCAGACCCAGTCGACCAGCTAATGTACATGATACCATTGAGCACGGAGGGACGTGACACACCACGCCAGTTGTGTCTGATCTAAAGAGGCAAAACAACACTGCTTACATCTGATAAACATGGCGCAGCTCTGGTGGGAGAGTTTCGGACAGACAAAAGCCCACTGACCTTACCCTGGCTTTCGTCCATTTTGCTCTGCATCATTTACTTTCCTGATTTCTAGTGAGATATTCAATGCTAACCCAACGTGATCGCGTCACTGGAGAAGCATTAGTGGGGGATAGAGACCACACAGCTTGCCAGCGATGGTCAAGTCAAGCTTCTTTTGTCAATAGGAGCCAAATGTTGATTGTTAATGGGCCAAACCATATTTTAAAAACTTGCGATGACCTGCTAATTTCAGTGGTATAGAGGCTATAGACAACATTTTTTGACAACTCTTTTTGGCAAAACATATGAAAACAACAAATATAATATATATTAGGTACATTAAAAAAAATGGCTGTGGGAACATGTTTTAAAACATATACAAGCATGAATATTTTGTTTCTAAACACTTCCATGGGGATGTTACCACCATATTTTCCAGCAATATGCTGCAATGTATACATATTCAAATGGGAATCATCCCTTCTAATGATCAGAGATTAGATGAGTTTGTCAGAGCTTAACTGGCGATAAACGGTTTAACTACTCTATGCTGCTCAGCATTAGGGCTGTTTACAATTTCTCCTCTGTCAGAATAAGCTTTTAAGGGAGTTATGTGAATTACACAAAAGTAACATGGGTTTAGAAAGACGAGATGTCTTTAAGAATATCTCCTTTTAAAATGAATTTTGTTTTCAATCTATTTAATTTATTTAAATTTAAGGTTGCAGTTTCATTTTTTTTCCTATGTGTGTATTACTGTAAAGCTAATCATTTAAACCTGTTCTGAACATAATGTATTTTTTTCAACAAATATTGTGATTGCTATTTTGTTTCAATATTTCCTACACAAAGCACAAGCATGTAGATGGCTTACTCCACGGTTTTATTGTTTTTATAACCGTAAGATCCTGGTTGTCCAGAGTTAATTATTGCAGGAGTTTACCTTTACTATTGCATAGAAAAGTGCTTCCTTCTACTCAGAGTCGTGAATCTGCATGCTAGCTGCAGCCCTTGCTGTGTCCCAATTCTGGAGGTGCATCATTCAAAGCCCGCATTTATAGGCTGATTAGGTTACAGAGTTGTGCCAAAGGCTTTCAAGGTTGTCCCAATCCAAGAATCTGCCTGACTGCTTCAAATGCAGCTAACAAATACATCCTTAACTTTTCTGATCTGAAGGATGCATCCAGGGTATCCTTCATTGCCCATCGTTTCCTAGGATTCAGTAGGGGTGGCAGCAGATTAATTAAGCTTGGACGGCAAGGGCATATGAAGGTGGCATATATCGTGAAAAAAAAAAAAGATAATACACTTTCTACGAGCCAAAATAAACTTTTAAAATATGTTAAGGGGGAACCACAGGTTTGTTCAATTAAATTGTCTAATTCCATTATCTTAAGCTTCAAGAAAAAATGAATTTTTTTAACTCTACTGGAGGTATATTAGTAGACGCATAATTAGCTTATCTTGAGATGCCTGAAACCATGGCACAAC